ATTATTTTTTAAAGCAATATTTGTGTGCAAGGCTGATGGAATGACAAAAAGCCACAAGACTACTCTTATTGGGCTGGAATCAGATACATGTGTCATGTGATTCCTGGCTGCATGGACAATCTACATTCAGTTACCGTTTATAAATTCCTCTTTAAATATGGACTATCCACACATTTGAGTTTCTCCTGCACTGTGTTGACTGATGAACAGTTATGTCATAGTCAGCGCATTGGTCCTAATATTCCTCATTGACACATTTGTACATTTTGTAAAAGTTATTAACTCAGTGATATTTTGAATCGTTGGAATATCCCCAAATGGTTGTTTTTTGGATAGAGAAAGAGCGCTGTAATAAAAGGTTGTCCCTGGCTCTATGTATAGCTGCACAAATTGGAAATGTTCATAAAAGGGCAAAACATCTGAGAGATCAAAAACAAATGGAAGACACACCCTGCAGACTTAGTAGGACACAAATTGCCTAAATGGGATATCCGGGATTCATACACACAGAGAGGGACACATGCACACGGGCTGGCTCCCTCACATGCGCAACTCTTCACGTCACGTGACGGAGCAGAAGTCTTAACAATGATTATATCATTCACATTCTCCACCACAAGAAACCCCCCATGGCATTTATTAATATGCCGTGCGCGCAAACTCCAGAGTGTTGTCTTCACGGACCCAGTTAACTGGGTCACTTGGCCACTGGGGATTATTCTTCCAGCCTGCTCACGCTCCACAATCATTCGTGCACTATGTTTAGTCGTGGCATGGAGCCAAAAATCGTTCTATGGGCAGTGGGCACCTCAGGATATACAGGCTGTGTGTGAGTGCCAGGCACGATTCTGCATCTGGGATGCCTTATAATTTCATTCATTAGTAATCTGCTCACGAATGCGCATGCACGCAAAAATTACACACGTTCACACACAGAGACACATGAAGCACAGCCACGATGTATATTTGTGTATAAGAACAATTCGTTTCGTCGCTTCAAACTCACCCAAAACACCAGGTTGAAGGCAAACATCAGGTATTTGATGCACATCTCTCCCCCCGACAGCGCAGCCATGGCGGTACTTGAGCTGTGAACCACACTTCTCCTGGTATTACCAAAGGAAACTGATGGTAGAATAGACCTTCAAAATAACGGCCACTATGCAGAAGCGGGTTATTTGCCGACGAGCTCGGAACAGACAAGTGCGTCGTGCGGTGCGCGCCTATATCCTAGTGGTCCGCCCCCACGGCTAAACGAACTGCAAAGGAAATATATGGTGTAGCTTTCTTTCCTCGTTTCTTTCTTATTGTTTGAAACCTTGCTTTCCATTGTGCTCGTTTTAAAAGTAGTTCTAAACACTAAGCTATTCTTACACTTTTCCTGCAGCGATGTGTTGGGGGAGTTAAGGTGTAAGGATTAAAGCCTATTTTATGTTTTGGCATAAACATAAAGCATTTTCATTACAAACATCGTCCCTATTTGTGACACCCAGTATTTTCCAATTTTGTCTCACGTTCATTTAGGCCGATGTCTAAATAACTTCTCATAGCACTGTTATATTAGTCGCTAGTTTCTTTAGAAATAAGATTGCCGATTGCTTCTTTTTCAAAAATGTAGCTCATAGCCGAGGGAACCTCTGGCCTATATTCAGTGTGTGACTTTCATGCATTCAAGGGCACAACAGTGCACTGAACAGCAGCCTGCTGTCGGCTTTTTGTATTTAAGTTCCTGCAGCACCCTGGCATTGCGATGACGTAATTTCTCCCAGAATAGGAAAGGCGCGTTCACGGATCGAATGTAGGCCTACTGTACATGAATGAACATAGTTCACGAGCATGCTCCCTCCAGCAGCGTATCTCACAGACAGACAGCACGTGGTGCACTCACTTAAGTTTCAACTTAACAGATCACACTGTTGCAAAGTGATACCTGACATGTTGACATGTCATACTGTAGCTGTGTGTTAACTGTCCACATTAACTCACAATTAAAGTGAACTAGTTGCAGGTTCTGAAACTTGAGGGATGTGAGCCATTGTTACTGAAAATGGTTTCACTTGATTCCTGCTATGATAACTCAGAATGTCTGCTGTGAAAAGGGTCTATTGTTGCTGGCTCATTGTCACAGTTATTGCCTTTAACATTTGCATAACGCTAATGTCTATGTCTATGCTGACAAGGCTTGTATAGGTACTGTAAATGTATGCCCATTGCACAACGGGCACCGTGCAAGGGCCTAACTATGATGGCTGACAACTGGGTTAGGTCATCTCCCAGACTGCAGGTCTTGTTGGATGTTCTCAGTCTGCAGTGGTCAAAACCTACCGATCTGTCTAAGGAAAGACAAAGTGAACAGACAACAGCATCATGGATGCCCAAGGCTCACTAATGATGAGTTTGACCTACTGGAGATTAAACTTCTAAATTGCATGCATCCTTTTCAAAAGATTTAATTTAGTTTAAACCTTTGTTAAAATGTTAAAATTAGAAACATTCAGCAGCTATAGTGGTGATATCACATCTAGAGTGGGGAGGCTGATGAATTTGTCTAAAAATGATTTCTAACCTGTCTTCACAACCACAGCTTTCATTCCTCTTACATACGTTTTCACTGAATGGTAAACACATTTGACAGCAGGACTATGGAAGTGAACAGATTCACAGAGGACTCACAGTGAGCTGCAGAGTGACACGAGTGCCAACCAACTGTCGCACCAACTCCTGTGTACACAGTATGAGGCATCTGGTCATATTGTCATGGCAGATCAGTGTATGTTATGTTACAGTATTAGTATACTGACCTCGTTGTCACAGGAATGCATTTCTGATCTCCATGAAAAATACTGACCCAGCTTGTTGTAATGCTTGATTTTTCTATTTTTTCTGGGTAAAGAATCTCAATCAACTTCCTGACAATTTCAAGCTGACCTGCAGGCACGGGGTGCAACAATGTCAACTTGCACTATCCGTTTCCATCTGAATGACAAGGAACACTATGGTAGGAGACCCAGGGGGACCCCACTGCTGACACAGAAACATAAACAAGCCAGATTGGAGTTTGCCAAAACTTTCCTGAGGAAGCCACAGTCCTTCTGGGAGAATGTCCTGTGGACAGATGAGACTGAAATAGAGCTTTTTGGTCGAGCACATCATTCTACTGTTTTCAGAAAATGAAATGAATGAAAAGAAGACAATCTCTACAGTCAAACATGATGGAGGTTCACTGATGTTTTGGGGCTGCTTTGCTGCTTCAGCCACTGGATGTCTTGACTGTGTGTATGGCATTAAGAAATCTGAAGACTACCAACTATTTCTGGGCCACAGTATAGGTCATGGGTCTTACAGCAGGACAATGAACCAAAGCAGACTTCAAAAAGCACCAGAAATGGTTTCAGACAATGTACTAGAGAGTTCTGAAGTGGCCAGCAATGAGTCCAGATCAAAATCCCACAGAGTGCCTGTGGAGAGATATGAAAACAGCAGCTGGGGGAAGGAACCCTTCAAACCTGAGAGACCTGAAACAGCTGGCAAGAGAAGAGAGGTCCAAAACTTCAGTAGAGAGGTGGAAGAAACTCACTGATGTTTACAGGAAGTGATTCATTTCAATTGTTTTGTCCAAAGGCTGTGCTACCAAATATTAATCTGAGGGTGTCAGTAATACTGTCCAGTCCATTTTTGGAGTTCTGTGTGGAATGTATCAGATGTGGCGTTTTGGGTTGTTCCAATGCAAACAAAAGAACTAAACATGAGAATACTAAAGACTTTGTGATCGTGACAGTTTTCTGGGAGAAGTGATGCATTAACTGACAGAAAAGCAGGGGTGCCGATATTTTTGGCCATGACTGTAAAAGTTTGGGAGATTGTGACACTGAGTGTGAAAGCTTGTATTTGAAAATATGTGATCTGCTATTCTTACCTTCTCTGTCTTTGTCCTTTTTTCTAGATAATTCCAGAGGTTTGCACCTGAGAGTGTTTATCCCTACACATTCCCAGTGTGTGTGTTTATGTGTGTGCAATTTTGGTGCAGCTTAGTCATATGTTTGTTGGTGTGGCACCAGCAAGATAGTGTTATTGCGTGAGATATCTCCAGCAAGTGTGTTTTCCACGAGGATTGTTTTGGTTGGCACCAGTACAGATACCTATGTGTAGACTAATCACTCGGCCAGGCGACTAGTGGGCATATCCTGCTGAATGTGTTTGTGTGTGTCAGTCTGCGGGCACTGAGTTGTGGACAGAATGGCATTCTATCCTTCTTGACATAACCTTGCAAAGGGAAGGGACCTTTTGGAAACAAAATAAAATACAGTCACAACTAGGCGGGGTATGTTCTTTGCTATAAAACAGAGGTTCCAGTGTGGTTCTGTGTCTGTGCGTGACAAAGTGTTTGACCCTCTTGTCAGGGTAGCCTCAGTTTGATACAGACCATCACACAACATAATCATGCCCTGACTGTAAGGTCTGAATGTGCAACATTTGGACTCTCTGATTTTGGTCTGTGTTGGCTTCTTCTCTGCAGCTCTGGGGATCAACTGACTCTGGAATCATGAAGGTAGGATGAACTGCAGAACTGAAGGACTAGGTTTATGAAACAGTCCAAGCAGTCTCACACAGAGTAATGTGATACTTAGACATAAGAGGGTGACGATTGTGTTGGTGTCAGTGATGTTGACAATGAAAAACATATTTATGTGTGTGTTTCAGGTGTGCTTGAGGAGGTATTTGCAAGAAATTTGGGTTCTCCTGCATCTGACAGGTGAGTCTCATATTTGATTGAAAGTAGTAAATCTTATAGCTTATTAGAATTTGAAGTATTTCACCTAAGTTCTGAAGTCTTATTTACAGTTTGTTTACAGTACAGTTTGTTGGCCAGCTTTTGTGGCAGGTATGACGGGAAGATGCAGTCTCTTTGGACGACACCACGTTCACACTTTTGATGGAGTTTTATATGAGTTTCCTGGAGATTGCAGCTACCTACTGGCTGCTGACTGCAACCATCGTTCCTTCACACTGCTGGGTGAGTCACTTGGAGTATTCAATAAATAGACCAGCACAGATTTGAATTCTTATGGTGCCTGATGCTCATCCCATATAGCTCAGTGTGGAGGCACAGTGCATGAGTTTAATCCATCCATCCTTTATCTTAAACTGCTTGTTCTATAGAGGGTCATGGGGGGCAGGAGCTAAGCCCAGCCAACACTGGGTGAGAGGCGGGGTACACACTGGACAGGTTGCTAGTCTATCACAGGGCTGATGAGCAGACAAGCATAGTAATATGTGTGTTCTCTAAAACAATGCACTGCACGTACTTGTAGTTGCATGAAAACATTTACTCTCATATTTCATTTTCTGCAGAAGCAGAGCACAGCCTTGTTGGTTTCAGACTGTTTTGGTTTGATGTAGCAGTGTCCTTGTGGTAATAAATGCGTTTCAAATCTTCAGGTGACTTTGTCAATGGCAAAAGAACTGGAGCCACACTGTTTCTGGGGGACGCCTTTGAGCTGCACCTATCTGTAGATGGACGGCTCTCACAAGGAGAAACAAGGTAGTGTATTAGAATATTTAAATTGTTATGTTCAAATAATCAGTTTGGTGTACAAGCTTCATACTGTATGTATCTCCTTCTTTTATAGACTGCCTCTACCCTATGCATCTCACTCTGTGTTTGTTGGCTCAGAGCTGGGATTTTATAAGCTCTGGAGTGAGGAGTTTGGCTTCGCTGTTACCATTGATAATGCAGCCAACTTTGCCTTGACACTGACAAAAAACCATGCCAACCGCACCTGCGGCCTCTGTGGCAACTTCAACTCTGTATCAGCTGATGAATATACTGCCCAAGAAGGTAGATGAATGTGGGGAAATGGGTAAAGTCAAACATTAAAAGTAACTGTTTAGATGTGTGGACATTTGAGAGTGAAATCAGGGAGAGTCCATTATTACTGGAATCTAGGAAATGATTTGGGTCACCAGTAGTCAGCAACAGGAAGAGTAGCAACTCAGTACAGGAAAAGATAACAAGGTAAGAGAAAATTAGAAAAACAATGGTGGTAGGATGAGATTAAAAAGAAATCTGTCAACTCCTTTATGTGTTTCTCTCTATGTTTTCTTAGGATTTATAACAGAGAACAGTTATGACTTTGCAAATTCATGGGCAGTGAAGGGGCCTGATCAGTCCTGTCGACGGGTCTCAAATCCAAGCCTGTCATGCAACAACACCAAAGAGACTTCAGTGGTGAGGA